AATTGTTATAACAACCAAATTTCCTAGGTCTCTACCTATAGCACTTCCAGTATAAAATAACTTCAGGAAATCTTGTAGAGATGAAGAAAGGATTCTTCATGCATATGGTCAACTTCAGAGTTCAGTGCATCCCTGAAATAGGCATATTCAAATACTTGGGCTCTAATCCAAATCCTATGTCAGTAGTAGTGTTTAGACTTTTAGGAGACCTTGCTTAGGTCCTTGGAGAGTTACACACATCCTCTGTTTCTTCCACATGGAGTGGAGAAGTTGCAAGCTCACTGAGTTTTCCACCTCTTCAATTTCCTTACAAGATTTTCCTGAAGATGGCAATGTACAAACAATCCTCCTCCCCATATTATGCTGTAACTTTCTAAGATTTGGAATTCATTTGTGCTGACATTGTCTTGCTAAATGTTTCTCATAGGCCAGCTATCAAAGACTGTAATGAGGAGGTGAGTGCATGTATTTTGCATTACAGCTTAAAGGGAGAAGAATGGTGATGCAGTCATATCATGTGCTGAGCACTTAGGAATTGACAAGTAGCAGTGGCAAGAGCAGTGAAGTGTTTTAAATCAGGAAATGCTGGATAATGAAACCATCCATCTGGACAGGAAGCCTGTGTGACCACATTTAGGTTTAGCTTCTTAGCCATCATGTTTTCCCATGCTTGGAAGAAAAGTGAGTAATTTGATACACAGACCACAGACATGGAATGTCTTGTTTCAGAAGTCTTTGTCCTTTGGTAGGAATGTAGCTGCTATTTCTGAAGTATCATTGCCTCTCTCTGCAGAATCTCTCAATCTAAATGCTGTGTATTTTCCTTTTCAAAAGGAAGGTGCTGTTTTGCATGACTCCCTAGACTAAAACCAGCAAGCCATTTCTTCTGACAAAATATTGCTTAAAATTGGATGTTATAGGAATAAAAGGAGGAAACAATCAAGGATGTAGGGGCTATAATTCTTATTCTCCTGTGACTCCTGGTATGACGTGGAAAGAGTCACTCAACTTCTCTGTGTCTCAATTTCCCATCTGTAAAATGGGGTTAAAATACCTACCTCACAGGGGTGTTGTGAGGCTTTTTAAAATAATGTTTGTAAAGTGCTTTGAGATCCTTGGATGAAAGGTGCAATAAGAAATCAAATTATTCATTTTTTTTTTAGCGCAGTACAAGTGCACTTCTGTCGAAATGGCTAAAGGCTTCCAGCTCTTAATAGCTGTTCTACACTACTCCACTATAATTTCCTCCTGCCATTTGTTATATCTGCTGGGAATTAAAAAGAACAAATTTACAATCTAGAATATCTAAATTGTCATGATATTTTGTGGAAGAGGGCTAGAATAATCTGATATTATTTTAAAACTGTGTTGTGTATTCTTTGTTCATACAAACCTAAAGTTAACATAAAAAGGATGTAACTTCGTTCATTCTTCACTTAAACTGGCTAGCATGTGTCTTTGTGAGACAAATTCATTCTCTTCAGAAAATAAAAACCTTCAGTTTGCATCACTTGTTCAAAACTTATACAAGGGGTAGAGTAAATCTTTTACCTCTCTGGATTTTGCAGTCATGTAACAGACAGCCATTATACAGCACACTGTAAAAGTGGTTACTGAGTTAAAGATCAAATATAAGGAATCACAGAAATGTGAAATGAAAGCAAGATTAAATTTTACAGAGCTGAATCAAAGAAAAGGCATATAGTTCACAATGAGCTGGTAGTGTAACATACTTCCTAGAACACCCTTAGCTAATAAATAAACTGATTCAGTATTTAAAATTTCATATTGATAAACAGATGATACAGGTGCCTCACCAGAGCAGGCTTAGAACCCAACTGTTATTGAGGAGATGATGTGGCATATATAAACATCTTCCTCATTAAAATTAACTGCTGCATGGAGATAAGAGACTTGAGTAAAATAGTTGTTAAAGAAAGGAGATGAAAAAAAAAGGACAAAAATTAAAATGAGAAATTAAACTTATTTAAATATTTTTACTTTCCCTCCTCTCTCATCTGGGATTAGTGCTTTACACTCTCTTCCACTACCTTTTCCTTCTTCATTTGAATGGATGGGAGACCAGGAAGGGATATAGCCAAACAAACAATAAAAAATACTGTAGTTACAGTTTTCACCCAGCTTACTTATTCAAAAGGAATTTAGATGTCTTCTGTCATACAATACATGATTCATATTTTGACTTTTCACTTGTGGAGGCAAGGTATAACATATTCCTCCCCTTGGTGATCATTTACAAACACAACCCCCCTTTTAGGAAACAATCCCTGAAACCTTTCACATTTCAAAAGTTGGCCTAGAATAGTCACTGCGTACCTGAGCAGTTCTCAGGATGACTTGAGAATTTTTATTTATTTTTTTTTTTACTTTATGTTTCAATTACAGCTAGATTTGGACTTATTTCACCAGTGTTTGTTGATACCTCATGCTAAACTTGAAGGCACTGGCAATTTTGGATCTATATCTTATTGCTTCTTTAATTACTTTGATGTTCCTTTGCTGCATCTGAGTGCCCATCAGTGTAGTTACAAGTGCCCCACAAAGCCTCAGTTTCTATGGAACAATTTCCTTGGCACCAGGTTTTATCCTTAATATTTAAATTAATGTAGGACTTCTTTGTACATTTTACTTTAGAAAATTATTAGTGTATTTGCTTTTCAAATAGCACAGACTAGTTATCCACTAATCCTTCATTGTCTCCTTCTATTCAGTTATTCAAGATGGACATTTTTCAAATAGGAAGCGTAAGTGGCAGTCCTTACTTGTGCACTGAAAATCTGGTACTCTGATACCTTTAATTTTTGTGGCACTGAAACACAAATGTGAATTATGATGATCTTGAAAAACATAGCAACTAAAATAAAACCACCTTTTATGATAAATAGATAACCCACTACTGGCTTGGAATATCTTGTGATGTAGAAATACCATACAATCTTCCTTATTAATTAGCTTTCCTCTGTATTCAAGCAGATAATATATATGATATAATATTTTATCATTAGAGCATTTTTTTTCTAGACATAGCCTAGTCATCAACCAGTTCTGCTGCTTAACTACAGCCTACTATCATCCCAGGATCCCTAACCACTGTGTAGAAGAAATACTATCTTGTGGCTGAAATATTAATTACTGTGCTGTATAGCTTTGTATTTGCAACTCTTGATTTATTACTTTGTCTACTGACATAAAAACTATTTTATCAAACACTATTTCCTATTACCAAAATGTTAGTGCACAAGCCACCTACTACCTGAAATTTCCCACTTTGATTTGCTTAACCCAAAATATGACCCACACTTTAGAAATGCCTATGTGTTTAGGTGTACTAGTGTTGAAAATACATCTAAGCTGAAAAGATGCTATCAGAAGTTGATGGACTGGCTCTTGAGCAGGTGTAAATTATCCCAGCTTTACTGGTTTCTTTCAGTTTGCACCAGCTGAAATACTGGCCTAGCATGTCACTGTAATGACAGACCTAGGAACTTTCTTTTCCAGTGCTGAAAAATGTTGAAATATAGTTTGGGTAGCTGATTATCAAAATATAGGTTATGAAATGTTCATTACTCCATAGTTAGAAATGTGTGTTTTAAGACTGGTCTAATAATGACATAACTTCTGAGTGAACATGAGATACCAGAAGATGCTCTCTGGATGATATTCATCTGAGTATGGGTATCTTTAAGGTGGGCATCGAGTCTGAGTCCCTTTGTTGTCAATGAAGAGAAACAGGCACTTCTAGTGGTTATTAGTTTAATTCTCAAGAAGATATCTTAAGCAGATCAGGTGGGCTGTGTCTGTAAAGTGTCTGCTTCTCTTACTAAGGACAGAACCACAGATGTAGATGTAGATGTAGATGTAGCTGTAGCTGTAGCTGTAGCTGTAGATGTAGCTGTAGATGCAGATGCAGATGTAGATGTAGATGTAGATGTAGCTGTAGCTGTAGCTGTAGCTGTAGATGTAGCTGTAGATGCAGATGTAGATGTAGATGTAGATGTAGATGTAGCTGGAGATGGAGATGTAGCTGTAGATGTAGATGTAGATGTCTGCCTTGCTCGTGCCTAAAGTTAGGTGAGGTGAATCTCTTCCTCAGGGCCTCTCATTGGCTCCATCTTAGTAAGCTCTCCCTATGTTATTCAACAGTTACTAGAACAAAGCTGAGTAAAATGTGGTAACTCTGCACCATTCTGTTACAGTACACAGAACATGAAATAACAGCCCTATCATACATATATGACTATAAAATTTGGGCTAGCATATTTACTTAAAATTATATTGTGCATATAATTCCTTCTATCCTCCTTTCATGTAACAACTCTCTTAAAATTCTTAACTTTTCCACAGCTGAACTGAGAGATTTTGATTTTACTGATGGATCCACTAAGTAAAATGCCATTTTAATCTTTGTGCGTAGCTATTAGTCAATTAGTGTTAATGGTGTGTATGATGTTAAAAATGTGACATTTTTCTTCTTGGAGTATGCTCTTTTGGTGAATGGCATTCATCAGTAAGAGAATAAATCCAGTAATACTCACTCCTTTGCCATCTATCATATTTACAGGAAGTACAGGAGTGCGAAAAGTTGGGAACATAGGCAATTACATCATCTGAATAATGTGATTGTAATAAAGCCCAAAGAACTGTGAATATAGGAGTGAAAGGAGAAACATAAGTATTTATGCCATAATATTTAGCAGGAGTAGTAATTAGCATTTTGATTGCCTTTTTCTTATCAGTTCTGTGAAAGAAATTCATTTGAATAGCAAATAAATAAAAATAGCCCTATGGACTATAGAGAATTCAGTCAAATGGGTCAGCCATAGTGTTCTAAAATTGCTGTATGATTAACAATATTTGACATGCAGTTTGTTTTCTGTCCGTGCGATTGCAACAACAGTTCCAATTGTAGCCACTTTTTTCTTTTCTTTTCCTTTTTCTTTCTTTCTTTGTTTCTTTCTTTGTTTCTGTTTTTTATGCAGAAGACCATCAAATGAATTGTCACAATACTCGAATAATGCAAGACACAGAAAAAGACGATAACAATAATGATGAGTATGATAATTACGATGAACTGGTGGCCAAGTCATTGTTAAATCTTGGCAAAATTGCAGAGGATGCAGCATACAGAGCCAGGACAGAATCAGAAATGAACAGCAATACATCTAATAGTCTGGAAGATGATAGTGACAAAAATGAAAATATCGGTCGGAAAAGTGAGCTGAGTTTAGATTTAGACAGTGACGTTGTTAGGGAAACAGTGGACTCCCTTAAATTATTAGCACAAGGACATGGTGTAGTGCTTTCAGAAAATATTAATGACAGAAATTATGCAGACAATACTTCACAGCAAGATAATAGGAATATGAACTTTGTAATGCTAGGGAAGCCTGTGAACAATGGACTTACAGAAAAAATAGTGGAGGAGAGTGATGAAGAGGTGTGTCTCAGCAGTTTGGAGTGCTTAAGGAACCAGTGTTTTGATCTGGCTAGGAAACTCAGTGAGACAAACCCACAGGAAAGAAATCAACAGCAAAACATGAACACTCGTCAGCATGTCAGGCAAGAAGATGACTTCCAAGGAAGAACACCAGACCGGAATTACTCTGATATGATGAACCTAATGAGGCTTGAAGAACAGTTGAGCCCCAGATCTAGGACTTTTTCTAGCTGTGCCAAGGAGGATGGTTGTCATGAAAGAGACGATGATACCACCTCTATTACTTCAGATAGGTCTGAAGAAGTGTTTGATATGACAAAAGGTAACTTAACCCTGCTTGAGAAAGCAATTGCTTTGGAAACTGAGAGAGCAAAAGCCATGAGAGAAAAAATGGCAGTGGAAGCTGGAAGGAGGGATAATATGAGATCATTTGAGGAACAGTCTCCAAGACACCTTTCTGGAGATGACAGGAAGCCTAAACCAAGTGACGGCCATGTCAAAAAGCCATATTATGGTAAAGGTAATATTTCTATATACCGTATGTTATGTCATGAGAAAGTGTGAGCTAACATGTTAAGTTTTCGCATAGATTTCTGAAATTATTAATTCCACATAATGGGAACTTTATTAAAATTGTAGTATGTAGTATGACATGATTGTAAAATAGCATCATGCTATGATTATAAAATAAAATATTTCATTCTGCAGTGTTAGAAATATGTACAGTATATCATTGGCTAAATTAAAAAGTAACTTCTCAGGGAAACAAAACAAGAGATCATGTTGAAAGAGGCAAAGATTTTTCTCAAGGTTTTAATATATTTTATAGTAATAATTAAAAAAGAGAATTGTGTTGCAAACTATATTGGGGGGGTTATGTAGCAGATAGTCAATCAGCTATGAAGTGCATATATTGCAGATTGGATTGGGTAGGTGGCATCGTGACTTACAAAATTATCATCAAATGACAGTTATTGATGAAGCCTCTCCCATCTAAAATGTAGAATTGCCTGATAAAAATTGAATAGAATCAAAATGACCGATAACTTAAGATAGGGGCAGTGACTGCACATTAATTATCTTAAGATAGTAAGGTAATGGAAACCATTTGCTATGCAAGGCATGGTGTGGCCTGGGCTGAGATCAATAGCAATTTCTTTCTTATGTGCATTCCACTTCACTGGTTTCATTCCATTGTGGAAACAGTTAAGGTGCTGCCTTGACCATAATTCAATACAAGAAAAAAACCAAAAAAAAACCAAAAAAAAAGCAACCCAACTAATAAAAACCAACCAAACAAAAAAAACCCAACAGACTAAAGGTTACCTTTAGAATGCCTTTTAATTTGCAGGATTATCATGGTGATGGTGTGTTTATATTATGACACTCCTCTTTAACGTGTTTACATCTGTACATGTAGGGCCATGTTGTATTAAGTGTTCAATACCTCCTGAGATTCATTGAACACCCCTGATTCCCATTGACTTTAGTGGAAGTTGAGGACGTGGTATTTCTTGGGAGATGCTAAACAGGGAATAGGTTTATCTTATATTTATTGTAAAAATATTTGGTTTGCTTTCTACAATTGAGATGGTGAGCATTTTTATCTTTTTTTTTATAACTCCCTGTTTTCAAAAAGTAATCTGCCTGTGACATTCATGTAGGCAAACAACATCTTGATCCACAAAAGTTTTGATCATTTTTCACAAGTCTTAAACAAAAGTAATGATCAGTCTTTTAGAAGCATGTAAATTACTGATGTCAAACACTGCTGCGATGTATTTTAGTGAAGTTTCATTTGTTCTAACCACAAATATATAGTCCAGTGTATGCTGTAGTAACCTCGGGCACTTGGGGAAGACAACTTTATTTAGTTAGTGTATTACTGCATAGCCATGTGGATATTGTGCTAAATGTTGTTCACATATGACCTATTATGGATGCATTTCCCTGTGAGTATATGTCTCTAAAAACAGAGAAAATATGACAAACAAAAATTAATTTTTGAACTGTTTTTAAATTCTGGTATTGTCCAGACTTTCCAGTCTATATATAGCTGAAAAAACACTTTTGCATATAGGCCTACTGTCTCCAAAAAGCCTATATAATTTCTGACAGTGAGAAATGTATGGATATCCTATTTTAGTAAATTCTATAGCTTCTTTGAACCATCCAATTTCTTGGGAGCTGCAGGCTGAATTTAAATTGATCCAAGTCTCAACCAGGGACTAAATACTGTGGGAGTTTGGACCATGAAACTTGGGATCATTCTTCATCTTTTTAATAAAAAAAGAAAAAAAAATCCCTTATAAATAAGACCAAAAAAAATCCCAACCAAAAAAAAACCCAAAAAAACACCAGAAAACTCCACAACAACCAAAATCCAAAACAAACAAACCTATGGAAAACATTCTGGTAGTTTCTGAGAGAGGAAGCTTTAAGTAAGAGAGTTGCTTATATAATTTGTTCTCCAGTCACGTTATCTTCCAAATACTGCTGGAAGAGTTACCTACAGAGACGTATGATATGGTTAGGTGGACACTTCCTTGGGAACACAGGTTTGCAGTGAGAACTACCCCTTGGCTTCAAAGATCACTGAAACAGCCATTAAGAGACCAGTAACCATTTTCCCCCTGCCATTTTAAGCTTTCTAAACAGGCTTTCTTCCAAAATTTATGCATTTTGAAACCTTTTAAAGTCCTTTGACAACCTTCACTTGGGAAATACTTCCATTGTGGCAAAGAGTGAGAAAAGGTTGCAGAGTTCAGTAGAACTGCAATATTTCTCCCAAATAGTAGAAAAGGATTTACAAAACAGTATCCAGTGTTTCGTATAAAGCTGTGAAAAGTTTTCTCAAATGTCTTCCATTAAAAGCAATGGGAAATTGTGCAAGTGCAATTTTATGCAAGTTTTGAAATCATTAAGAGTAGTATACAGCATCTTTTCTGACTCATTAGACCATAAAGGCTCTTAAGGATCTGATATGTGCTATAACTTTATGATGTAGACTTGAATACAGAGCAGGATTTGCTTGACGCTGTAGGATGCAAGTGTCTAGATCCTCAGCTGCTCTAAATTACAATACCTTCACTGACTTTGGTGGAGTTCTAACAATGTCGAGTAGCTAAAGTTCCTCTAGTTTAAAGTCTCTAAAAAGCCATTATGGTCTATTAATCATCTACATTTTTTGCAGTCTTTGAATATTGTTATATTTACATAATTTATATTTCATTTACATTATCTATTCACTTATCTAATACTTTTACACATCCCAAAGTACTTGACTTGATGAGTTGCTTAGAGTTGTGTATGTATGTAGCTGTGGGCTTGCTGTTCTAGTGGTCTCAGCACAGGCCTATCTGGCAGGAATTCAAATCCCTCCTCTGACATTTGCTCCTTCTGTGGCCTTGGGTTTAACTTCTTGATCTCTTTCTTCAATTTCCTGATGTGTGAAATTAAGGTCTTTACAGGAGTGTTGTGATAACTGTATAGCACATTGGAGATAGATTTATATGTTTATTTGTTATTAAAGAGCAATGAACTATGTTCTGCAGTCCACATGCAAGTAAAATAAAACGTTCATAATTAGGGATTCCATTTGCAAAATACAAGGTTTAAGTATGATATTATATTGTAAGAGTGGATTTAAGACATGGAGAGTCATTAGAATGAGCTAAAGATTTTCTGTAAAATGAAGCTGTTTTGGAAGAAGCTGAAAAGTAAATGTATATATAAAACCTACCAGAAGGAAATCAGGAATTGGAATAAGTCCAAAACAGAATGTGAACTCTGGGTTGTATTGATTCATGATGAAAAGAATGGGTTGTATGTGAAGTTCTACAAGTACTGAAATTTCCTCCTATTGTACTGAGGGTTCTGTTTGTTGAAGCTGGGATGGAATTTAATGTAAAAAAAGGCTTTCTGGAAAACAAGTAGCTAAATCTTATTTTACGAATCTGAAAGCATAAATACTGAAGCAGAGAACTTACAAGAGCAACATAAAATTATTAAATGAGGATAGTTCAGATTGGGTATTGAAAGGAATGATGAATAAAAAAGATGTTGGTGATCTTGAGCCAAAATTGTAGCAGTTTGAGTATCCTGAATTTTATCCCTTTAATATGGATATGAAAATCAGCAATGATGTCCAAAACCTGGTAATGGTGGTCAAGATGATAAGATGTAATTTGTATCATGTGCTTGTCTGGAAGAATAGATGTTCTACAGATGTTCTGTTAAAGGAAACAAGCAGATGAAGTTACATGAGAAAGTTCTATATCAGGATTAATGTCACCAGTATTCCATTACATTATTGGCAGAAAACTTTATTTTGTGGAAAAAATATCTAGTTAGACTTTCCTTTGATTTGTAGTCAGAAGATCCAACAACATTCTAAAAGGTCATTAACCTTTCAAGCATATGAATATTCAAATGTTACATATGCATGTTGGTAATGGCCCAGATTTACAATGCAGGTGATACTTTCAGTAATCCTGGTTAATGTTTACTCCACCATAATTTATTGAAGAGAAAGGAATATTTATATAAGTTTACCACTTTGTAAGGAATTTGGGAAAACCAGAGTCATTTCCTCACTGAGCCTTGGAAAAGGGATTTTTGTGGAATCGTTATGGTGAAGAGCTGGGTTTGCTACTCTCAGGACACTGAACTGCTATGACACTATATTTGCAGACCTTAATACATGAGGCAAATAAGAATGTAAAGAAGGGAAACTCCAACTAAACAGTTTCCAAATGACCTTGCACCCTTGAGCTAATGCTTGCCAGCAGAACATTGATTGACAATGGTATGGCTTTGCTGTAAAAAGGTCATTTTCCAATCACTCTGAATGGATATTGCTGTGATCATGGGAGCCTGCAGTCTGAGAAGAAGATAACAGGATAAAAGTGACAGAACTGTGATAAGAAGTAGAAGGTTGTTTTTTTTTTTTTTTTTTTGCAGTTTTCATAATAACATTTACCAAAGAGTAAATGACATGATTAAATGAACCTTCTTACAGAAATGTGAAAAGACTCATTCACTTGACACATTTGTTGTAAATTATAGATCCCTCAAGAACAGAAAAGAAAGAGAGCAAATGTCCTACCCCTGGGTGTGATGGAACTGGCCATGTAACGGGGCTTTACCCCCATCACCGCAGTTTGTCAGGATGCCCACACAAAGATAGGGTCCCTCCAGAAAGTAAGTTCACATTCTTTCATGGAAACTGGGGATAAAACTACAAAAACTTTTCTAGCATGCTTTTTAAACCTTTTATTTAAAAAATTAATTTCATTTTTCAGTATGGTTTGTCTCAACTTAGTCAACTGTTCTGTGTTATACTTTTTCCTTTATTCCATCTTTTCCATTCTTTACTAACTTTACACTAAAAGAACAACTTTTAAAGCTGTATTCTTTGATTTTGAGAATCCTAGGTTATTTTTTAATAGACATATTTAGTCAATATAGAAAGAGGTTTCCAGAAGATGTGCACTGCTTTTGCTCCTGCGTGCTAATGTCACATCAACTGTCCTTATTGTCTTGTACAGGAATAATTATTCCCGAAAAACTTGCAACCCCTTTCCTTTGTTATTGTTGTGTCTGAAATATAATTTATATTAAACTAGTGTGTATTGTATAATAAATAATAATTTGGCTGTTTACCTAGTTGCAGAACTCAGGATTTTGAGCAAACATCCCCTCTCAGACACATGGGTGGAGCTTCCTGCCATGTCAACAAATTCTCGTTGTAGGAAGTTCACCCATATGAGCTCATGGACACACACCTAAAGGCAGAGGGCTTTGTTTCTGGAAGTCACCTCCTTGGCTGGTGAAATCAGCATAGTTCTGTTGAAGCTAATTACTCTGTGCTGGTTTTTATCAGGAAGTATCTAGCTAAGATCCAATTCTCTTTCACAACAGTTTTAAAATGGAGTTATGGATTTCATTCCATATGGACCTAAAATCCTCACCGTCCATCAGCACTTACAGAATTAACCTCAATGAATTTGCAACAGCCTTAAGGAAATGTTACAAAGATGGTCAGAAGTAAAATGGTCCCGTTTCCGAAGGAAAGTAGATTCTGATGGACAGGAAAACAGAAGTAGATTAGCATTTGCAAGAGTGGCAGACATAACAAGTCTCCTCTTCCATGGTACAGTGGCTTCTTCCAGAAGTAAAGTGATGAGGAAGTGCTTTAGGAAATTTTGCTGTAGTTTGGTTGGTCTCTGAATACAGTAGAACAAATAAAGTAATTTCTCTGCTTTCCAAGAACTTGTAATTTTTTGAAACACAGATATTTATTCAGTTTCTCAAAGTTCTATCATTTTTCCAAATGGTAAATAAAAAGCTCTTTAGAAGACTTTGTAAATCAAAGAAGAATATAGCTTTAAACTGTTTGCATGCTCTTGTACCTACTAAAATGACAAAGGTGAGCTCATCTTTTTTTTTTTCCTGTGATGTTGGCCTTGTGAAGCATGTTTCAAGAACAGCTTTAAATATTAGGAATTTCAGAGTGAAGCTTTTGTATCTATACACATTTTATCACACTGATGATGGGGTGATGATGATGGTTATCTTTTAATGAGTATACATGGTTTAATTCTCAAGTCTCTGAACAGCTTTTATTCAGTTCTTAACTCAGTCAAGGTATCTACTGCTTTTATTAGATCTTCTATTTTTTTTTTTTGGAGTGAGAACTAAATACAGGCTTCCAGACCACTTCTTGTGTGAGAAAATGAGAACTTCACAGGGGCTGGATGGCCTTTTTCCATTGAATGATGTACTGCCATCCAGCTCCAAGACATGGATTCAGATATACATCATGTCATAAAAAAATTCTTCAGTTTCCCCAAAATGTTTTTGATTATTTGGTCCTTCATAGCATGAGCTTTATGATTTAGAGAGGCACTGCTCTGAGCAGCCTTGGAGTAAGTTTTCCATCCAGCTTGCAGTGGATGCAGATGTAAATCAGTTTACTTGCTTAAGCTTGTAGCACTTATTTATTTTTATATTTTTTTTCTGCCATCCCTCAATTTTTAAGTACTTCATTTTGGTTCCTAGTATTTAAAAAAAATAAAAAATCACATTTGTAGACAATACAAGTGAAAATTAGAGGATCCATTCTGTTCACCATATAGATATGAATGATATATCTATGTGGAAGTGAGCAGAACTGGCCCTTAGCTCAATCGGGCTGCCTTATAATTAGGGTTAAATTCTGTTCAGGGTTGTACTGAGGTGTGTTTCAAGTAATTCAATGTTCTACCAGTATAACTTGAGAGCAGATTTTCAGCTCATGAGTTTGATACTGCATTTATAAAGCTATGTATTAAGAATACATACATTTCCTGAAAGAATTTTTCCAGTCTGTAATTTTGTTTTGTATGGTTGCTAGCTCACCCTTTACTGTTGAGCTGATCTTTGCTCAGTGGTTTTGTATGAAGAAGATGTTGGGCGTCTTCTGCTTCACTGTTGCACCAGAGATGCATTCGTTTATAGGTTCTGTAACCTCCATAACTTTCACTGTTTCCCTGTGTTAATGAGCATAGGGTCACAATACTTACTTTCCTCATCAGGCTTTATTGGCTATGTGTGTCACGTGTATTTTGAGGAATGCTGGTTGTTAATGAATCCTGCTTTGTTTTAAAATGGTTTCATATATACTGGGATTTGATTTTTTTTTTTCTTGTTTTCATACTCTGCTGTTTTCTCTTACTCTCCTTGTCAAGTTCTTGCCATGCATGAAAATGTTCTTAAGTGTCCTACACCAGGCTGCACAGGCCGGGGCCACGTAAATAGCAACAGGAATTCCCACCGAAGGTAAGGATGCCGTCGCTGGACACCAATCTAAAGGGAACAGTGCCTCCGAACTGCAGCCCTTCTAGCAGTCCATTGGTGGGGGGGAGTGAGTGTGTGTCGTTGTTCTGTTCTGAGGATTGACAGATGGTGCTTCGTGTGCTTTATCCATTTTAAAGAGTAACATTTATTCATGTATTTTCTGAGGAGAACGAGTGTGCGTTTGCTGTAGTATGGATGAATTGATCCACAGAAGACATTTTAAGCATCCTTAGCTTTTTGAGTGGACTTTTTCTTCTTTTTATTTTGATATTTGCTGAACAACAATGGTACAAAACAAGTGGTATGACTCCTCATTGGTGTGTTGCAAGGAGAAGGATTTTGTCAACATCATCAGGACTAGGACAGCGTTCTTGTTCTCACACTTCACTCTCCTCAGAGATTATTTTCTAGTGCATGGAAAAAATCTACTCTAATCCTAAATTATTGGGGTATTTTAATACATGAGAAACAGCATTTTAAATACGTGGGTGTTAGTTTTCTTACTGACCATTGTCTCAGCCCCAAAGTACTTATTCAGCTAAAACTGAATGAGAATCTTGGCTGTTTAAGAAACATTAAAAACATGTCTCATTACATTTAAAAATGAGAAGGCAGAAATATTAGAAGTAATTATTCTATTTAAAAAAAAGAAAAAAGTCAAGGAAAAAACCAACTTTTTCATAGTTTCCTAAGATTAGTAATAGATTCTTAGAGAAGGGATGCTATGGCAAATTAAATTCTGTCAAGCAAATTTTGAAAATGTTACTTTACTTTTCTGCATGTCATAATTTTCCCACAGAACAATAATAAAATTTTGCCTGTTCCTTTATAACTTAAAAAAATCCAGAAAATGTCGATAAGAGGGTAAAAGGAACTGTGCAATGTTCCTGTTAAAGAATTCCTTTTTACTATTAATTGTAGCATGAGGGCTTAAGGGAGTACAGATACTGGACATTCAGTCTTATCAAGCTCTGGGTTACTACAGCCCCTCATATCAGCTGCATTTCCCCTAGAAGACTCTTGCGGGTACCAGCCTTTCTGCAATAAGCTCTGGTACCCTTTCTCTGCAGTGATGCTGCCAGTAGATGCAGCAAAATCCTCTGAGAAGGCTTTATGGGAATTACTGCTGCTTGAAGCAGCATTCACTTCTGGTTGAATATCCACTAGAATATTTGAGGTGTCTGAGGAAGAGCATGTCAGTGGAGCGCAGCTGCCCCCTGGCATGGCTCCAGAGCTACACAGAGCTCCCTCACCCTCTGCAGAACTAGGGTAGCGAGGGCAGGCAGGGGGGAGCACTCTGCAGTCTGTGCTCACCTCTTTCTGCAGCTTTTGGGGCATTTTTCTCTGCTTCACTTTTTTTCTTTTTTTTCCACTTATTTCCTGTAAAGAAGGGAACATCTGGGAATGCACTGATTTGCCTTTCATTTTAATTTCTATTCCTGTGGAGAGCACAGAGAGTTGCGGTCACATAAACATGCGATAGACTATGACAAGGAAAGGAGCCCCTCCATTGTCAGGTCACAGGCTTTTACAGCTTCACTAAGAGCACCATCTGCTGGCATCAATATATTTGTTTTTCTCAGATCTAAATCTTTTCCATAAGAATCATGCTTATTATTGCCACTTCAATAATAGTTCAGCATTTGCAAATTTAATTGAATTTCCAGTGAAGAAATACTTTTCATTTTACATCTACTATTAGAAAGCATACTTTAGTGGCTGAAATTCATGAACAAACACTAACAGTTGGCATGTAGATTTAGCAGTCCAAGGCAAAATTTTGAACTCATTTATATGCCTTGCAAAAAGATTGGAGTTAATGGAGCTGAATGAGGTGTGAAGCAGCACAAGATTCGGCCTATATGGTGTTGTCATTTAATTGTCTTCAGGAGCCATTTCATCGGCAGCATTTGTAAATGCATAAAGGTCACGAGTCCGCTAGCAGAGCTGCACAGTAGATTCCAGTTTATATTCTCCTCTCCTACTGGTATGTTCTCTGGCTGACATCCATGAATAATCTACCCATTGTAGACTGTGAGAGAAGAACAGATGTAAGATTTACCATGCAAGTTTGAAAGCAGAAGAAAGGAAGTCTATTCTATAGAAAATACACATGACCAAAAGATTTTTGGAAACCTTTTCCTTCAGATTCTTCCTGATGCTGGCTAAGGAGGAGAAGGAGTAATTGGATCAGTGCTATAATGTGAAACTATGCAGGACAAGACAATTAAATTTCCTTTCTGTAATTGCAGCCTCTCTGGATGTCCTATTGCTGCAGCAGAGAAACTGGCTAAAGCTCAAGAGAAGCATCAGAACTGTGATGTGTCAAAATCAAACCAGGCATCAGATCGGGTTTTAAGGTATTAGAAATCACTATAATACTTATTCTTATGCAGAATTCATCACACATTCACCTAATCTGAGAATTTATATTTATATACATTGTATATACATATATATCTCCTTTAAAGAAGAGTTAGAATTAGGGCTTCTGGATCCAATTCTTACAGTGTATTTATCCCACTTAGTTTTCATGGGGGAGGGTTGGTAATTATTTTGGCAAATACATGTAAAGCTGAAAAGCTCATTTTTGTCTTAGGCATTGTTTGGTGTAAAGATGACTGCTGGAGTGCAAAGTCTAAGAACAGTGTGAAAAAAGTTGGTATCTTTTGGGAATAAACTAATATTTACCGGTAAGTCTTGGTTTTTTCAGCAGGCTTTTACTAGTAAATATCAGTTTAAATTAAACCAGAAGCCCTATGTGCATTACCAAACTGGTAGTACACCTTTTGGCAGGACACTTGGAAAATTACCAGGTATAGCTTATATTCCAAAATAACATCTGGCTTAGTTCTTTGTCTCTGTTGCCCCCATTCTCTGCCAGGAAGGACAGAAAGGGAGAAAAACTGTCTCCTAAATTTTCATATGGAAAGGATCTTGAACCAATTTTATATGATTATACTCCTTTTCTTCATCCATGAAGGATTCTGCATTTATCTGAAGTTATATCCAGCTTTGTGCTATTGTCTCCTCTTTTGAGATATGTGGGTGGAAAAATACTATTTCTGAGGAGCTGAAGTGTGAAGGATGCATGCAAAGCAATCAAACTTCTGCATGATTGTACCAGCCTTATGCTGATGATGCCCCAAAAGCTGCAGAATTTCTCCATGGATACTGCAATATCTGTGGGCTGGGATAGGTACATCTCTCCCAGCTGCCTCAAAGAGCGTGGAGGAAGTGCTGCAGCTTTAGTTCCCAGAATTTCCTACTTATCCCATAGGTTTCTTAGTCTTTAGCTCTCTTCTAGATTGAAGAACCGACTGGGCTACTTAAAGTTTTCTACTGTATTACCAACACCATTCTTTGGATATTCCCTTAGAAGTTCATCTAATCTTGATGGTCTTTTCAAAAACCAGCATTTCCATGGAGCTGGGAACATAGAATTATGTTCACATCTACAGAAAAACTTTTGTCATTCCTGTTGACTGTGGTCTCCTTCTGCAGATTGTTTTTGATGGGCTTTATCTTAACTGTCCCTAATTCAGTTTGCACAGCTTGGCATGCAACGTCCCACAGAGGTTTCTTAGAGAAGAGTTCTTCAAATCCCATTAGTAAAAAAACTTCCACTCTTTGAGGGAATAAAACAGGTTCTCACTTGATGGAGAAAGACAGATCAAAAATGCAGTGGCTTTTACCACTGCTCATTACAGAGAAGCCACTGAAGTCATTTGCCATAGAAGGCAACTGCTCAAAAGCAGCATCCAGGTTGCTGGCAAACTCCCTAGGATTGTTCTGCAATCTTAACTTCACTTGTAAACTGCCTTGTGTTTCAGGTTTTATAGGCAACTCAGATAAGTCTTTCATCTCATCTCTTGCTTTCCTTTTACCTTTAAGTCATTGAAGTATTTAAGATGAACTTGGCAGCTATTTATAATATTTGTGTGCAGGCAATTGATGGGCAGACAGAGATGTTTTAAGACTAAATCTTGAATATTTGTCTTCATCCCAGTTTCCATCTCAACTGCATATGAAAGTTCTTACTTAAAAAGAAATCAAATTCATAGGACTTCTATTCCACTGAAATTTTGGATTTGCATCATATGTTCAGGATCTGAATTGCAGGTTTTTGGCTAAATGTAGATTATCTTGAAACAGGATCAAACTATTATTCATATCACCTCATTGTATAAATAAGCCACTGTATTTTGTGAGGAAGAAGTGTCTAAAGGAATGAGCATACATAAATCAAATGGAATAGTATTACTAATATGATTTTTTGGGTGATCATTACATAAATATCCTGAATAAATTCTATGAAAATAAATTCATTCAGAAAAACATGATATAATATTCCAAAACTATTTCTTACTATTGATCACATTTCACTTTGTTAGTCAGCATGATGACACCTCTAATCACAACTGAATTTATGTTCCTATGATTGTTCCTTCCATTTCCTATGGTTATAAATGCAGTAAGAAAAAAGGAAGAAAAAAGAAGAAAAAAGAAAAAATGCTATATGCTTCTTGATGCTAGCAGAAGTACCTCAGGTGTGCTGTTCATCATCCTCACCTCCTGCTAAATTCAGCAGGTAGACATGTAGCATTGTGTAGCAGCTGCTTCCAACAACCTAGTCATAATACTTTCTTATATAGATAGGGTTTGCAGGATCTGACCTTTGTTTGCCTGCTCTGAGCTGATGAATTCTGTGTCCACTTTCAGAAGATGGTGTGACAGTGGAGTTCACTGCAATGTTCTTTTACTGAGATTTCAGAAGTTTCTCAAATATCTGGATAACATCAATCAGGGCTTCTTCTGACTGTCCTCCTCATCCTAAATGAAAGAGATATTTAACTGAAACAGTTTTTTTTGTATTCATTCTCAGGATCTTCCTTGAGGTGTGCATCTGTGTTTCAGGAATTGCAGCTCCTGCCAGAACCTTGCATTTAAGGATGAGCAGGACCTGCAAGGCAGCAGCTCAGAGTCAGCAGAGCTTCTGAGACTCTTCTCAAGATGAACATGGATTTGTATATTGAAGGATGAAACAGTAATAGTTACTTTTGAAAGCACAGAGGAAAACAGCATACAACTCTGTTGGAAGAAATTTGGAGGAAACTCCATATATTAGGTGGAGTGTCCAGATCTACTTTTTCTTTTTGATATTTAAAGAATTTTTCCAAACTTCTGTCAGTCTGCTTGCCCCTCTTTAATTCACCTCCCAAAAGAAAAAAATGTTTGCTATGTGATGCAATTACATGGGGAAAGGGAAACCCTGAAGTATTTTAAAACAGAATTTTAAAATACTTTTAGCAGCAGGATACATTTAGCGGTATTAGAATTAATTTTGTCTAGGCTTTGTTCAAGGAAATAAATATTGTTTGTCTGCTGAAAACAACCAAACTAAGGAAATGCAATAATATATTGCTGTCTCTTAAGTAAAAGAAATAACTAAGATTTTCTAATCTGAACTATAAATTATGCACAAACATAGTAAACTGAACTGCATCTAACAAACTGTACATATCTTTAATTTCTAGGCCCATGTGCTTTGTTAAGCAATTGGAGATCCCTCAGTATGGCTACAGAAACAATGTCCCCACCACCACACCCCGCTCCAACTTGGCCAAGGAACTAGAGAAATACTCTAAGACTTCGTTTGAATATAACAGTTATGACAACCATGCCTATGGCAAGAGAGCCATAGCTCCCAAGGTGCAATCCAGGGATATATCCCCCAAAGGATATGATGGTAGGAGGTGCACACTCTTATACATGAGAGACAAGTTTGCAGTTAATCATGTTGTTGTATATGTAAACATCATACAAATAAGACATGTTTTCATGTTCATACAGTATTATGAGGAATGCTATCATATGTAAGTTATTTTAAAGACCTTTTTAAAAAAGTGTTGTTTTATACGGTGCTTGCTTCAGGATTGTTGCACTGTTAAAAGACATCTCCAGCTATTAATCTCCTGGGATGTTTGAGATGGCGATAAAAGCTGAGTAATAGAGAAAATCCTTATGTTACTGTCTGGGAGACCTGGCCTCAAGGGTCACATTAGGATTCTTGCCTCTGTGCAGCAGTTCAGGTAACCCAGAAAGATAACATACTTGCTTTGTGGGGATATGGAAATAGAAAACCTGGGCCTCTTTGTGCTCCAGAAAACATTGCTACATACTCAAAGAGGCATTTTTGGTTATTTTGTCCTCACAAACACACTGGTTGAATTCTCTGGAAAACCTAACATACTTAACATGTTTAGAAGAAGGCTGATGCTAGCTTCAGTTCAGGAGAAGACAATGGATGGGATCAGTCAGGCAAGAGGTTTTCTATTAGGGGAGAAAAATGAACTATAGGACAAAGAAGGATTGTAGGTTTCGAAGACATCAGGAAGTTTTCAGAACAATACATTTATATATGCATATATATGTGTGTGTATATATAAATATATATGCATGCATATATATATAAAACTAAACCACGTCTTTTTTTTGTCTTTTTTTTTTTTTTTTAACACTAGCAGTTTATTTTTTGGTTAAAATACTTAATATTACTCAGTGACTACTATTAAGAAATTTCAGGCAGGTATCAGATTTTTTTGTTTATGAAAACAGAAAGGAACATACTATACAGAAGTATTTATGCTATTGCCTGAACACAGACTGACATTTAAAAGCAAAGTGAAGAAAGAGAAAATCACTACAGCTCTTGCCTTCATATGTCTGATGTTTTGGATATTTTCCTTTCTCACAGAATTAGCAGATATATGCAGATATAGCATTATAGCAGAAAGGAAGAGGGTTGTGAAAAGAATCCTATTTTTAGTAAAAGAGCTTTTTTTGTCCCTCATACCTTCATCTTATTTGTCTGTATCCAAATAAGGGCTTGAACAGCATTAAAAGTAAATCATTAACTGTAACTGTGGTTAGAAGGTAATGAGTATACATTAGTATAAGGTAAATTAGGTATTAAATAATGTGTATATATTCAGTCTACTCTTGCAGAAAGGAAAGCATCACAATACTGGTGGGGTTTCTGTGAAAAAGTTTATTTTCAGATCAAATTACTGATGCATAAGCAACTGATACATACTTTTTTCATTTAAGACCCCTTTTTCAATAAGTAATGACAAACTTTACTTTTTCTCCCAAACCACCAGAATTTGAAAATACATGTAACATTAAGCACAAATTTACAGTGGCCTTAAATAATAAAAGGCTATGTTGATACAGGTCACTGTCTTTACACACACTCATCTTCCTTTGATATAAATAGGGTTTTTTCCTGGCTATAGGACAGGGACTAGGTGGCTTCAGTGCTCAGTAGTGTGAGCCAGAGGGGACTGAGAAACTCTGCATACACATGATTCCTGCTGGTATAGCAATTGTTATTGTAAATAACTGAATATGAAGGAGATTTCAGGAAGAGACTCTTCACTTAAAAAAGTCACTTAAAAAAACTTCACAGTATTTTTAGGTGGTTTTATATTTGTATATAAAAAGAATTAATTATTGCTACTAAAGACTTCATGGAGGTCCAGAGAGCACAGCTATCATGTATGTCAGAAAAGCATGTTATATAAAAGCAGATTCAGTTCTGAAAAGTCATCCTGAAAAACCCAAAAGTGCATCTAAGGTTTTGGGGGAAATGTGCAGGTAAACAGTGCTTTAGTTCTGACTATATGAGAGAAGTAGTCTTAAGGATGTGAAAAATCAGTAGTTTTACATCTCAATTATTTTTTAATTGTCAGCTAGTATGGTATTTTCATCATCAGAGAAAGGGATTATATCTTCAGTAAGTGTACAGCTGGGAGTGACATGAACATAAGTAGCTCATTTGAATTGTTTCCTTGATATTTTTTACAGTATGGTTTACTAAAAAACAAACAGAAGGTGTATACTTTGGATTGTTGGGTAGGGTGATCTAATAATTCTTGAGAAATTTTTTACTTTTGAGCTTCTTTTTCCTTTGAAACCAGTTGCATAGTGTGTTGGATGACGGGCTTATGGTATAGGACACAGCAGGCAGTGGTGGTGGCAACACTTTCAGTTGCTTAGGTGATGTCAGGAATTGTTGTCATCCCACCAACAGGCCTGGATAATTCTGTCAAAACACTGAAAAAATGTTATGACTGGGATTGATCTGGCCATATCCAGAGTTTTATAATGTTAGCACTGACAGCTGAGTTCAGCACTCCTTTCAGATTCAGAAAGGTAGGGTAGATGAAAAGGGTAGATACTTCTGTGATTCAGTTCATGTTTTCCTTAAGTGCCTATTTAAAACTGGTCAGGTCAATCATGGCCTGAAAGTCCCTATTTTTTTCCACTGCCTTTATAGGAAGCTTATAATGACTAGGTCAGACATCTGAAATTTGGTGAGATGAATCTTTTATTGTGGAAGTCAGAAAAAGTGTTTAAATCATAATTAATTTATTAAAACATTCAGAATTTAGATCATATTGGGGATGAAGGTGCCTGGGCAGAACTGAATTCCACTCCAAATACTTTCCTTTTTTCTTTTTCATGTTTGGGATCTCTCCCAGTCCCCCATTGTTAATTAGTAAGAGAAACCTTTAGACTTTGAGAGGTTCCTTGTAATCAGCCCCTGGGCATATCTGATGGAAGCCCAGTTTGAGTATGCAGCTGGTTAGACCTGTGCCTGTTTTTAAAGGGGGAAATGTTCTTCACATTTGGTTTCACTCTGGATTACAAAGCATAGGTGGACTGTAGAGTTTTGTAAACGTGGTGCCACAGGGGTGGGCATTGTACCAACTATCTAGTTTTGAAGCAATGCAGCTTTCCCTTCATTAGTGAACAGATTGATTTGATTAATTATAAATTGATGATCTTTATTTCTCCTGAAAAGCTAATGTGAAATCAACAGTCTGGGTTATGTGACTCATCTTCAAATGTACAGCTACTGTAAAGTTTAGATAACAATGGCCATTTCTCTCTAAGTAAGTTTTGCTTAAATTATTGGTAATCTGAAAGCTAATAATTGTGTAGCATGCTTATAGCTCTTTACATCTTCAAAGTGTTTTGCAAGTGAATCACAACACGACTAAATTTTAGCAGCAAATTTCTGTTTATAGAGAAAATGAATTCAAGGGATAATGTAGTTTAACCAAGGCCACAGAGGAGTCTGTATCAGAGCCTGCATGAGTTTCTGATGGTTAGTCCTATGTATAAAAGCTACCTCTCACCCTCCTTCTCTTTAGCACACATTCTCATATATATATATATATATATATATATATCTATATCTATATAATTTCCCATGTAGTATGTCTCTTATGTCTGTTTAAATGTGACCTGCTATTACAAGACTAACATTTTTTGAAAATGACAAAAATCTTATTTGTTCCTATGATTTTTGAAAGATACTTCTAATTTGGCTATTTCAGTGATACAGAGTGCTTGCTGTGTTAACATAACACAGTAGAAACTGAATTATTCAATTATTTGTTTCCTTAAGTATAAGAAAATTCTTGCGTGTCTTGGATACTGTAACAAAGTAACAATGGATAAATGCTGAATTTTTAATGACCACCACTGACTACTATATTAATAATGAAACTCTTGAGGAACAGTTCACAAATTTATTATTAGTGGATAGCCTGCTAGTGTAGTGCTACTATGTGTTCAAAACAAAAAAAATGTGATGAATGTTTAGCATTCACTTCACTTAAAAAAAAAATCACACCCTGTGCATTATGTGGCTTTCCTGAGAAAACTCCATCTGTTATGATTTAAGTGAAACACTATTTCCTTTGCAGTAAAAATAACGCCATGATTTTTTTTCAGTTTTTTAGAGAAAAGGAGGATGACATAAGCTCTAGCAGAGACATTTTGCTTTCAGATTCTTCTTTTGAACCCTGCCTGCCTACCAAAGCAGCCCATGGTTCACAAATGGGCTGTGCTCATGGGAGCAGATTATTATATGTAAGTCTGTTCAGACAAACACAGCTGAGGAGCCTGGCATTTAAATGGAGCCCATCACGGAAGAGCTCTGTCTAGGGCCTGACCTTTTTTGTATAGCTCTGTAATCAGCATGCTAGTTGGTTATTGTTACACTGTGCTATAAGGTATGATCTCCATAGTATATATTTCCATCTTAAGGGGAAGTAGTTGCTGGAATATGCATGGATGTATCCTCTGACCTTGACTTTTAGTTTTTCTGAAAATACATAAACTTCTACATTTTGGAGACGAGCTCACACTTTCTTGCATTTTTATAAACACTTTTAAAACAGCTCATCTGGGAAGATGGTTGGGAAGATTAGTGGGCTAATAGGGCTGCTTTCCCTTACTGCAGTGCTGCCTTGTGTCAGTCAGTGCACAACTGGGCATCACTGCCCACAGGGGGAGCGGGGAGGGGTGTCTTTGGTCCTTTCTGGTTTTGTGAAGACTTATAGGTGCTCAGGTTGTTTGAAGGAGGAGGGGGGGGATTTTTCACTTGTACCTGTTGCCATTTAAACAGCCGTTGCTTCTTGCCCTTGTGCAAGTCATGGTAAAACTAACACATGACAACCACCTTTTTTCTCCTATTGTGCTCTTGTCTTTGGGATGGCCAGTGCCATAATATTGCCTGTGGTGTAGGAGGAAATAAAGCTTTTAGGAAGCATGAGGTGCTTGAGAACATATGGGTGGTGCTGTGGCCCAGAGGCCACTTGTTCTCCAGTAACTCTGGGGAGTTCTAGACCTTAAACTAATAGTTCCTCATGTAAATAGGAAAAGGTCCCATAGTGTTACATTGCCTGTCACTAATAAAAATGAATGAGCTGAGCAGATTGTACCTTTTGTCTGACTATATATGTGGGGTAAAAGCAGTGTTTCTGTGTTTTTATTGTTTTATAAATCCAGCCTGTTTGTCAGAACAATTCATGATCATGTCATGCAGATTTTTACAGGAGGTTATTTCATATGATCTCACACATGTAGCATATATAACTCACAGACAGAAATCAAGAAATACAGCCATCATTCTTATTGCGGGCTTTTTTTTTTTTTGGCATTGGTTACTGTTCCTCATTATAAATTTCACCTCCAGCAGTTTGTTTTCCTCTTCAGTTATGCAGAATGCTCCTTCTTTTGAGTCATCCTTGTCATATTTCTTCCCACAGCTAAACGCTACTGTAAGAATTCGAGTCCAACCAGCAGCACAACAAGCAGTTATGCCCCTAGCAGCAGCAGCAATATGAGTTGTGGTGGAGGCAGCAGTGCCAGCAGTACCTGCAGCAAGAGCAGCTTTGACTATACTCATGACATGGAGGCAGCACACATGGCTGCTACTGCTATTCTGAATCTCTCCACCCGCTGCAGGGAGATGCCTCAGAACCTCTCCACTAAGCCTCAGGATCTCTGTGCAAGGGTAAAAATTAGTAAATCTGTTTGTTGATGAAGATTTCTCTTAACTGTACTTGCTCTGAGGCCCTGATTGAGAGAAAAGCTTAGTACATCTTGCCTTTTTTTTTTTTTAACCTCAAAATTAACATAATCTGGGGGCTCTGCTAAAGCAGGGAGGAAGAAAAAACCCAAAAGAAAGATACAAATTGCTCACAAGTATCGCAGAAAATCATGATGGTCTTAAAAACTAATAATACAGATACCATGTAATCCTTTTTAAAATTCGTTTCTTACTATAATTATAAAAGATGTTTGAATTACTCAAGTGGTATTAATTTCACTACAGTTTGGGTATTTATTTTTTTTTGCAAAATTCAATCTGGTTCATACATTTGGTGAAAGGATTAAGATTTAACTCTGCATTTTCGTTTAAAAGTCACAAATGGGACCTGAGCTTGTAAGATTCAGTGCAGAGAAATCTGTGGTGCTGTGTGTTACAATTTCCTGCCTGTCTGTGATACCAGAGTTCTTAAGGCAATGCATAATGCATTTGAAATGAGCAAATCCCCCAGCACAGGTGAGTTAAAATGTGCATAACAGTCTTGCAGTGACTGATGTTCTGTATGTTCATAGAGCCTCAGTATATTATAGAATGGCCATACAGATACAAATAACAGCTTTTGTCATTAAGCTTTCTGTATTAAGGAAAAAAAGTGCACTATTTACATTTGTTAAAGATTAAGGAGATTTCGTTTTTAGTTTTAAAGTTTTGACTCTGATAGCTGTTCAAAAATGACTATTTAACATGCACAAGCAAACAGTATAGTGCTGACTACAGAAGACCACTAGATGGCTGAGCACACAGATGCAGTGCAGAGGAAACATTTTTATTGTGCTTGTAGAGAGATTCTGAGCTGGCAGACATGTTCTGTTCTTCTCCTATAGACAAAGGTTTGCTTTCCCTTGTTGTGCAAACTGCCTCTTATTATGATCATTCATAAAAAACTAAACCTGTAGCAGTAAGTATTTGTAATAATCATGCTCTAAGCCAGAATGAACTTTGTTTTCAAATGCTGCTTTTTTTATATTAATTTATTTAATAGTGTTCAAGAGGGAGATCTCTTTCTGCCATGTAAATAAATGCAGCTCTTCTCTATTCAGTATGATGGGAGAAGTTGAAATACATTGCTAAAAATCTTCTGTGTCTAAGCCAAAAAGGGCCTCTTTCCTAATGTGTCACTGTATTGTGGCTGAAGGAATGAGTCTGAGGAGATAAACAAATACTTTCTAAATTAAATTAGCTGGATAACAGCAATTAGGTATACGCTCTAACAAAAGGCAGTAATTCAGAAAGAGAGATTCGCATTCACAGTGGTTTCCTGCAGCTCTGTTGATACTCAAGAGGAGAGAAAGTCACCAGACATACAAGGAATCAGTCAGATTCACATTTGTTTTGAAATCAAATTTCTCATAGAACACTCGATTTTTGGAAAGATGAGGGATTCTCTATGGGCATTGTTATCTGTCCTTAGTTTTTAAATTTTGTACTCATTTTAAGATACCTTATTTCTCCTCATCTAATGTAATAGACAACTCTTGCTTGTGTCATCCTATCTTTCACAGTACCAGTTGTCACAGAAATTGGCACAAATTATTATCAAGATAGATACATGAATTGTTAGTACGTGTTCATCTGCAGGGAAAGAGCTGTGAAACTTAAATGTTTCCTCATTGACAAATGGTGTCCAAAAGGACTTCTTTGGGTACCCTACCTCCCTGTTTAATTTTCTGAGATTATCTACTCAAGCATTGACTGCTAATGTAAAAGAAAAAAAGAAACAAAGATTATTTGATGTTAGCTGGATCTTGTTTCTCTAATCAACCAGACAGACGCCAGGACTGAAAACAAGAATTATGCAGATGTTACATCACAGGTTACTTCACCTGCCACAGAATAAATCAAGAACATAAAGACAATGGCAAGAAAATATCTTTAGGACTTTCTCCTTTATATATCAAGTTTTGCACCTATGTGCTGGGTGGCAGGAGGGGTACTGAAGGCTCTCCCCTTTCCCCCCAAACTTCAAATTAGCCATTCAGGAAGAAATCTACTTTAACAGCATTAATGTTGTGTAACAGCATCATGCTATGTGTAGGAGGGGGCTCAATGCTTACAATCTATACAGGAATGGAAAAGCATTTTATCATTCTGCTAGGCAATCAGATTGAAGAAGAGGTAGCAGTTTGCCAGTGTGAAGCTGAATTAACAATATTTTTCTTATTTTGACAGAATCCTGATATGGAAGTCGATGAAAATGGGACGTTGGATCTGAGCATGAACAAGCAGAGGCAGCGAGATGGTTGCTGCACCATTTTGACCCCACTGGAGCCAATGTCCCCACAACGACAAGCTGTGATGAACAACCGGTGTTACCAACTGAACGAGGGTGACTGCTGGGACTTGCCAGTGGACTACACTAAAATGAAGCCAAGTAGGATAGATGAAGATGATTCCAAAGAGATTAATGTATGTCTTTTTCATCTATATAGTTATTGTTGCAGTCTAATTTTGGTAATTCATTAATTTTCTGAAATTTGGAGGGAAATAAGAAGCAAAATTAGTATGTGACAAAACTGGTTTTCTACAAAAGGGACTTTTCTGCTGGTTAATGTCTAGGACTATATCATGCTGGCACACATCTGATCTGTGACTAAGTTCCATAAGACAACATTTGAACCATGAATGTGAATCATGTTTTCTAACAGCATCATCTTGTTAACAAATATTTTCTGCAGTAAAGATATTTTGCCATGTCCAGATTATGTTACTCTGTATAAGAAGTTGACATAACCATGCAATACTGGGATAATCAGCTCTGAAGACAAGATATTCTCCTGAATTTGAAAACCATAAATGATGTGCTGAGTATTTGAAAGCATGTATTACTTAGAAATCAATTTAAACAAAGCAGCAGAATATAATGTAAGCTTCCAACTATTTCACCTAATCTTCTTGATTACTTATATGCTCTTGATAGCTCTGTGTAAGGGCCTGTATTAATGAAATACTTTCAAGAATACAAAGACGGGATATAAGAAATCAGTGTTACTTTTCTACTTATAATACCAAGGCAGCAGCAAAGCCCTTTTAACAGAAGAGGCAAATAAAGAAAATATGTCAGTGAATTTGTATTACTTTTCAAAACAGAATAGACAGGACACTGAAAAGGTCTGCAGACAAGGTTCAGTGCTGCTGCTTTTTTCTGTGAGGTTTTAACCCTTACCCATTCTGCAGCTTAAAATCCTTCACTCAATTCCATTTAGTTGTTTGAGGACTTCTGGAGATTGATTTTTCTTGGTTTATAGCCAAAAATTAGGCTAATCATTTATGTGTAGCACATCTCTTTCCAATTTTAATTAAACTGTAAAACTATTCTCGGTATCCTTTAAATATATAACAAAGTGGCATTTTCACTAGATACCCTGAATGCATTCTAGCTTTGGTGATACAGTTTTGCTACTAATTTCACTGAAGTTGGCAGGAAATCTGTCACTATCAAGGAAATGTGAGGTAAAGCAGGGTGTTTTTTCACAGCAAGAACTCCCTGCTTCTACTATGTTGTTTATAGCACCATCTGCAGGAATCCCTGAATCCCTGCGTTCAGCCACTGCATTCCTGAAATAGATAGGTTTGAATTTCTGAACATCACTAAAGTTAATTACAAATTGTATCATTCTGTCCTGCCAGACAGATCCATTAAGATTTATCCCAGACTGAGTTTCTGTGTGCAGATGTTAAGATTGCTTCTCTTTCATCTTTGAGGTGTTCTAAATGCTGAAAAATGCTGTTTAAGATGTCTTTTTGATGCATAAGATACTGCATTTAGTCATCTTTTTTGCCTTTCCTCTGTTGTGCAGTGACTTTAGGGAAAAGACCTGAGTCTTTAGAGAAAAGAAATATGACATATATAGAAAAAGCTGGAGCTTTTCCTTTTTTATTTTTCTAGTTAAATAAATATTTCACTTACTGTGAAGTCTTCATCAAAATATTCAAATACTATTCAAAAATTTAGTATGTGAAAGAATATAAAATAATTTCATTAACTTTCTCTGTCAGAATAGGATAAGGAGATACCATCTGATGACTCTTCTTTGCATTGTTTTGTGTAAGTTGTGACCTTATCTGGCTGAATTTAATGTGTATATATTTGCCTGTAGCCGGAAGATTTGGATCCTTTCCAAGAGGCACTTGAAGAAAGAAGGTATCCTGGTGAAGTTACAATCCCAAGTCCTAAACCCAAATACCCTCAATGCAAAGAGAGCAAAAAGGATTTAATAACGTAAGCATAATGTGAGGTGAAATTATTTATCTCCTTTTAACTTTTTCTCTCTTTGTCTTTTTTTAAACCAACGAATACATATACGCCTTGCAGTATGAGCATGCAACATTTGCAGCATATAAATGTTTCAAACTGCCAGTTAAGTAAAGTGATAAGCTAACGTGTATTTGCTTGTTCTTAATGATGCTATATTGTATTGAGACGCCATTTTCATTTAAACCTGTTCATTTTGCAGCTTTTCGATTAGGATGCTTAAAACCCCTTGCAGTCATTGCAGCTAAACTGGAAACAATGAAACTTTTAAAAGTTTTTTTTAAACATACTTACTATTTTGGCTGTTTTTGTTTTTGTTTGGTGGCAGATGTCCAACACCAGGGTGTGATGGGAGTGGTCATGTGACTGGTAATTACGCCTCACATAGAAGGTGTGACTTCATTTTTTTCATGGTGGATTCTGTCTTTTCAATTTATTGTTTTCAGCTTACCTCAACAATGCTGTCAAAGTAAAACGTTGAACTATGTGTTAACCCTTTGAGTAATATATGTTGATCTTAAAAGCATGCTAATTTGTGTGTTGTATAAACGTCTTTTATTTTTAAATAGATTACTAAAATTTCCAAAGTATTACTTAAGCATTTAAGTAGTTAACCCAGGAATCTCCAATATTTTTGTTATATTTTTCTAGTTCATAGAGAAACAAACAAACAAACAAGAACATTTACAGTATGTAATTTTGAAAGTAATATTGATAACTAAATATATTCAGAGGGTTAACTATATTACAGAATTCAATATTACAGCACTTGCCCCATCGCTTTTCTGCATTACAAACTTTTACTTTTTAATTTTTATGTTGTGTTTGTTTGGGAGTGTTCAGTTAATGAGAAGATTAACATACTTGTATGTCCTGCCATGTCTTACAGTTTATCTGGCTGTCCCTTGGCTGACAAAAGCATTCGGAGTATGCTGGCCACCAGCTCACAAGAACTCAAGTAAGATATAAAGAACAAATATTTTCTTTATAAATATTTATTTGACCTCAAACTGTGTAAAGTATCAGAAGTATCAGAAAATAGAAATGCTGTCTGGAGAGCTGCTGCAGAAGGGCTGATCCTACTTGGAACATGGATTGAAGTCTCTAGAAATGCCATCCAGGGGGGCTCTGTACATAAGTCTGTTGATGTAGTATGTCCTTTTGTGTGTCCATTAGGTGATAGGGATGACAGAACTTCTGGTATTACATCTTAAAGTATGAATTCCTATTTAATTTTTTTCTTAACTTTGAGTTTGCTAGTTAGAACAGAAAATTCCCTTACAATTAGACTGATGAAACAATTCTGATTGCACAAGCAGTAAAGCACTGCAGTTTCTCAGACACAGTTAGAGGGAAAGCAATTTTTTTTGCCCAAACACTTGCATAATTTTCCCCAGGTTCGTATCATTGCTACCAGCCTGATGCATTTTCTCATGTGGCTATGTTTTTTAATGTTTACTTAGTTATCCCCTGCTTAAAATGAGTTCTTTACAATTCCTTTCAGTTCTTTGGAGTAACAATTTTGAACAATAAACATTAGAGGATCATGAGACTTAACTTTGCTCTGTCTTCCTGCACATATGCTCTACTGCAACTCTCTGTGTGGAAGAACTATAGCAATAGCATTTATTAGTGCTATGACAGGGCAGTGCTTCTGAGCTGGTAATTTGGTTAAGATGGAAAAACGTTCACAAAAACGAGGAAAATTCAGTAGGGAAAGTATGAATGGATATATTATGCTGCCATATTGCTTAGCAGTATTCTGTCTTTACATTTCTTGACTTCAGTACCACTGATTACCAAAAAACAAACAGCTCTTGATGTAAATAGTGGGAAAAATAAGAAAGCAAGCATGAGAAAACTGCTGGAGTAAGATTGGTCTCTAGTTTTACCTAATCTAGTAGTTAGAGGTAAACAATACATATAAAATTTACATCTGATTTCCCACAAAACAAAAAAAAATAATGTTTTAAAACTATTAGTTTAGGTTATGCTGATATATGCTGCCAGAAGAATATGTGATATGCAATAGGGGATGTAAATGAGATCAGGGAAAACATTTAAGTATAGGGAGAGAAAGACACACGCACCTCAGAGAAACTCAGATTAGACCTGGATTTTGGTTTGGGATGGGTCAAATGGTAGAAGTTCGAGGAAATATGAATGCAAAGCAAATAAACAAAACACAGTCAAGACTCTTGAAGCAGCATGAATATTTTAAGCAAATATTTTGCTGCTTTATCCCTTTATAATGTTTCTACTTATCTTAGGAAGCTGTTTCTGAATTACTTCTTCTCCTCTGCTTTTCTCAAACATCTGCATTCAAGGCTGCCTGGTAGAAATCAGGAAGAAAAAAATCCCAAAAAACCCAAAATTGAGATCCCACTTCTATGTCAGGCCACTTTCTCTACTTATTTCAAGTTCTTCCTAAGCAAAAAGCAAGATTAAGTTAAAGTAATAATTTTAAATTTATTTATAGTAATATTTTAGGTTTAAAATATATTATTTATTATTTATTAGCCTAAATTATTAATTTAGCAGTTATCATTATACCAGTTGAACACATAAAACTGTTAAGTTTCAAAATGACAGAATTTTAAGCACGCTTACTTAAGTCAGTTCTCTTTTGTATTTGCACTGTATGGCAATTCTTTGTTTTCTGATCGTATATTTTTCCACAGGATAACAAAGTAAATCATTGCACAGGGCAGATAGTAATAATTGCATAAGCAACTAATTAATTTCTTCTCTTTTCCTTTATTATCCCATGTGAGACCCTATCTGTTATTCACTTGAGTTTTCTCAAACTGCTCTCTGAAGATAGATCTATTGATTCACTCACACATTTTTCACTACCATCACATCTGAGTGTTTCCTAATTAATTGAGTTATAAAATATTTTTTTTCATCTTCAGTTATACTCTGAAGTAAATAGGGTTGGTATTATCCTCATTTTAAACCAGAAAAATTAGGTATATAATTTTGATTGCTCAGTTGGATACTTTTAGGACTCAATTTGTCAGTTTATCACATTGTAGAGAACTATACGTGTTCAAACCCTTGAATTTGCTTGGAGTTACGGGAATTTAGCAGATTTATGTAATGTAATTGACCCTTTGTGAAAAGGGATGAACTCTGCAGAAAAAGCAGGAGAGTCCAGTTCCAGAGCAGCCACACTGTCCTTTCTCCTATCCCAAAACTCTGATTAGTCCCAGATTCCATTTGGTCCATTTATTTGGTCCTGTTTTTCTTCATCATTTTTTCTGCATTGTTCCCTGTCTCAAGCTCCCCTGTCTGATCAGCCATCTCCTGCCTCCATCACATTTATATTTTTATTGTCCTCTGTCTCTACATCCTGTGAAGCTGGTACAGAGACAGAAATAAAGCATCTTAGCATTTCCCACATATATTTGAAAGCAGGGAAGTAGGAGTCCTGTGGATGGCAGCATCCTTTATACAGCTCTCATTTATGCTCTTGTTCTCTGCTTAAGATGGAAGAAGATGTGATCATGTAAATGTAATGTGCATGCACAAAGCAGCTAAACCAAAGCTACATAAGAGAATTTGATTTTGAAATTTTTGAACTGTGAAGAATTTCATTTACATCTGTTATATTTCTGTGTGTGAGGTCTGGGAGTGTAATTACCTTGTTTCTAAAACGAGGAAGCAGAAGCTGAAAGCAAGCAGAAATTACATGATAAGGGATACTACTGGCCATCTGTCAGGTCACCAGCCACCATGAGAAATTCTGGTGTCTGCTCTATGGCATGGGCTGCTGTCATAGCAAACAGCAGCAGAAGCTTTAGTGATCTGCATGGACTGGAACCAGGAGGAGATGGGGAACATTGCTGGGATGTTTCACACATATTTGCTGACAGCAGAAGAGTAGTGAGAATCAGTAACCTTGGCTCCTACCCCAGGCTGTAGAGGAAAATGTATACACATTTTTTACCTATAACCCAAGCTGAGATCCCTTCTGTCCTGTCCCTACCAATCTGTACTGTTCTCATCTCTTCTTCATCTTTTATTCCTTGTTCAGTTTTTCAGTGGAGTTTTTTCCATTCTTCCATAAAGATTTCAACCTTTGTAAAATTCTTGGCAAATACTTGTTTAATGTATAGGGTACAGGGAAAAATTGATAGCGTAGTAGTAGAACTGATAGTGCAGCATTCAGCAGCAGGAATTACACTTCTGGACTGCATAATTTGGAAGGATTTCATATTTTATGGCTTTACCATGTATCAAATATCACACATCTGCTGGTAAAGCCTTCATATCACATTTTACTAATACATCTCTTTGGGTGTTTTTTACAGCACATAGAGATAGTGTGTAATGTAGCTTCCTAATGAATTTTGCTAACGCACTGAATTTTTTTTGTATCCCAACTAAAATATAAAATAGCAGACATTTCAAATAATATTCATTAATAATATCAGTCATATAATATTCACAATCAAAATAATATAAGTATCCTAAAAGGTTAGACGAATATTTATTTTGCTTCACAGCCATGCTTACTGTATTGCCTTTTGGAAATTGTGGCTCCAAGATTCCATTACTCACATTTCCTGTCTCTCAGAATAATAATGTTGCAACTTTCAATTAAGTTGTTCCAGGGTCAGTATAATTATTCCTTACCACCCATTCTTCTCATCTGTAAGGTTTCTTGCTCAGGTTTACCATGCAGATTGCGCAATTTTTCATTTTCGCCCAAAGCTCTAACAGAAAAGTGAGAGCCTTTGTGCATAGTTTGTCAGCAGATTAAAGCTGTTACAGCCTGGTCAGTGATCTCCAAATAACTGAACAGTATCTTCTGCTTTAGTTCTTAGTTATTTATGCTGGGAGAAAAACAAAACAAAACAGAACAAACAAAAAAAACCCCACACAAAAAAAACACCAAAAAAAAAAACAAGAAAAAAAGATTTGACAGCTTTAAAGCTGTTCCAGTATTAAGATTTTGGTTATAGTACTTTTGAAAAGCAACTAATATTAAAGGAGCTAAAAACACTATACTGATGAGTAAAGTTAACTATGATGGGAGAGCAGTTAACAGCCCATTCAGTGACAGCTACCAGTATTAAGGTATTCATTCATCAAATTAAATGTGATGTGATCTTACTAAAGGGCTTTTACTTATAATTTTTCTTTATTTCTTCCTTATCATAGTAGGTTTTTCTAACAGTTACAATTATTTCTAAACTGTAATACCATTGTGGAATTATAAATACTGTTAAAAACATTTTGAAGCACTTTAAATCTTATTCAAAACAAATTTTAAAAAAACCAACTCAACAATCCAAAGCTAAAATTAGTTATGGTTTTAAAAGGACACAATTTGTTCATAAATAGATCAATACCAGGTAAAACACAGCTTGCTGACTGTGATAATTTCTACTCTGTGTCCTGTGAATGTGGGAATCTGAGAACTCAGGTACCAGAGACTCCCAGAAAGTGACAAACTTATTTCTACTTAGTGCTATTTTGATGTAAGGATAATCACAGTTTTCCAAAGAGATATACATATATATACACACATGTACATATATACCTTATGTATATAGGTTATTATATTATGTACATAAGCTAAGTGTTAGCTTGGTCTGCTGTGGACCTAAATATCCCATCCTCAACATCTACCCTTGTTGTCTTGGGTCAATTTTCTGCCAGAAAATACCATTATTGTTTACTCTGAAGAATCTGATCCTCTGGAAGATTTACAGTTCAACCAGATGCCTACAAGTTTGGATACTTCCTCATACTGTTGTAGTGTGCCCAGTTCTTCAGTCCCAAAGCATCTGTGTGGATTTTCTTGTTTTCTGTGATGGATGTTTTTGGTACTTCCTATGGAGGGAGGAATGCAGTCTCCTTTCCCTAACTACAATGAAACCTGAGAACTTTTCCCACATCTCTTAACTCAAAGGAGCTCAGTCTATTTTTGCATGTTCTCCCCAACAG